GTGATCATTTAAAATGCTTTAGCCAGTCTTCAATAACTGAGATCCTCTCTTCCATCTCTTGAATTCTATTGGTTATACTCACATCTTTAGTTCATGATCCTTTATCCAGCCTTTCCATTTCCATCATCGCCTCATTCTGTGTTTTCTTTATTGTGTCTATTTCAGCTTTCATACTTTGAACTGTTTCAAGAGCTTCCTTCACTTGTTTGGTTGATTTTTCTTGGGTTTCTTTAGATTCTTTAAGAGATTTGTTTCTTTCTTGAATTTTTTGGTTTGTCTTTTCCTCCATTTCGTGTAATTTTTTGCTTGCTTTTTCTTCTATTTCTTTAAGGGATTTTCTTGTTTCCTCTTTAAAGGTCTTTATCATCTTGCTGAGATAATTTTTGAGGTCCATCTCTTCTTCATGCTCTGTGTTGGGCTTTTCAGGTCTTGCTGGTGTGGAGTCCCTAGATTCTGGTGATGTCATATTGGTCTTTCTGTTGTTGAGTGAAATCTTATTCTGTCTTCTTCCCATATCTTCTTCCAGTGAGTGCAGGTGGGGTCTTTCTATCTCCTCTTGTGACCCAGTGGTGTGTGCGGGCCAGGGATTCAATGTCAGCAACTCTGGATAGTCTCACCTCTCCTGGTAGTCTCCTCACTCTGAAGGAGTCATGCCTCTAGATGGGTCAGGTCAGCGGAACAAGATGGAAGAGTGGGGTGTTTCCAGATTCAGGGAACTCCTCCCTGCCTATGTGTGTCTACCCCAAACAGGTACAGGACCAGAGAGATCGGGGTGAATGGGGCTTTGGATGTGATTTGGGTAAGACAGAGGGTCACTCACCTTGTTATGGATCAGCTAGGCGGAACCCATTCTTCTGGATTTTATTGCTACCTGATGATACAGAAATGTGGCCATCTGCAAATGTCACACTGAATACTCTAAATACTGGTTTGAGTTTTCATTGTAAAACTATGTGACATATGCAGAAAAGTGATGACTATCAGCCAGATCTTACTTTCATTGTTTATAATCAACACTTTTTCTCCCATCACACAGTGCCATTTGGATCATGGTTTGAGCACACTCGTGGCTGGCTGTCCATGAGAGGAAGTGAAAATTTCCTTCTGCTGAGCTATGAAGACATGAAAAAGGTAACTGTCATTCTTATAACAACCTCATAGCTTCGCACCAACTCACCCTATGCAGGACCCCACATTCGTCCATACCCCCATTCCACATACTTTGTCAGAGGTAGGCTCAGGAGGAGTTTGTAAAAGTGACATTATGCCCGATGTCCTTTTTTGACCTGCATCTGGCATTTCCTATCCAGCCCACTTGTCCATCACCCTCATCTTCTATACCCTACTCAACACTGAGTTAGGGTGGAATAGCTCACACTTGCACAACAGATTTTTAAACTCTCTTTAGGCAACACTTCCATATATCTGTTAACCAAGTGGTGAGTGAGAAATGGGTCAATCAGGGTAATTCCACACTTGTTCCCAAATATATGCCATCATCTTTGATCACAAGAAGAAGTACAAAGGGATGAAATCCATCTCTGAATCCTGGGAGAGTACAAGTGCTGGAGTCACATGAGCCATAATGAGTGAGACCAGGTGTGACAGGGTGTGTCCAATCAGGGTGGATGGTGTCCTGTGCTGTTCATTACAGAGGTTCTGTGAGGTGGGCTAGAATACCCTGGACATTTCAAAATTACATAAAGAATATAAAGTATGTTTCAATATTATATAAGTGCATATGTCTAAATAGACTGATAGGCTATACCTTTATCTGATCATGGAAAGTTTCATTTGATTGAAATGCCACACAGAAGGTTAGAAATATGGTTAAATACTATGTGAGAGACTCAAGTGTCTCTTACTTTAAAAATTTAAAAAGTATATATCTTTGCAGGGAGCTATATGACAGTAAACCTCGCACTGGGAGATAGATACTGATTCGGGAGTTCTAGGTTGTACTTAGTTGTATGGTGAACTTGAGATCAACCTTGGATATAAGAGACATAATTTCAAAAGACCATAAGAATAATAGTTTATAAGTACATTTTATTTTCATTTAGTTAAAAATTCTTCATCTAATGATGGAAATGTAATAACACCAAATATATAAGATCCAAATTATTCTTATCTGATCAGCAGCTCAAAAGTTTAAGTAGTTTGGAAGTTTTGGGGTAAGGCAACCATCATTATATATCACAGATAAAGGTATCAATTTTACTTTTAACTGTGAAAGAAAAGATGCACTAAGTGCAAATCTGTCAGAGAAAATACTAGCTCATCTTTAAAACTGTTCAAAAATTTAGTAAAGGAGGATAAGATACAGTCTTACAGGTTTTGTTTCCCTTATAGAAGTAGACTCAGGTGATGATGAAGGTTACTGATAATTGTGCCCTCTTTGGTTTGGCTTTTATTTTTTCTTATAATATTTTTATTGTTAAAACATATTTCAATTTAAACTTATTGTGCTCATATTATTTCCCTCCTGTATTTCCTGTCACATGTTAACACCCTGCTTACCCACACAACCTTAAATTCTTTCTCAAATAAAACAGAAAAAACAGTAAAGCATTCCTGCCCAAAATAATAAAACCCTGAAACAGAAAAAGTTAAGACACTGAACTGTAACCAAATAAAAGGACACATGCACACAAAACTGTGGAGTCTGTTATATGTTGGTCAACTGACCCTGACAATGAAGACTGCCCTGGAATTGTTAATATATCCAGGGTTACTCCATTTGAGAAAACTGATATTTTCCTCTCCTACCAGGTATAAATGACAGTTCACTTGTTAACCTTTACCCTAGTGGCTATATTTTCATTCATTCATTTTAAAAATTATAACAAAATAAGGTAAAATATGATGAAACAATAGTATCACTTCAAAGTTGGACAAGACAAACCAACAGCAATATAACAGCACAAGGAAAGGTACAAGTAGACAACCACATGTTCACACATTTAAGAAGCCCATAAAACACTAAGCTGGAAGCCTTAATTTATAGGCAGAGAAGCCATACAGGCTGGGGTGGCACCATGCATACTGCACCAGACTATGGGTTCATACAAGCTTTCCTCATGGAGATGTGGAGGACCTTGTTTCTTTGTTGTCCTTCCTCCTATCTCACCCTTAAACTTTTTCTTCTTTGTCTAAATAGTTCTGTGTGCTCTAATGGGAGGGATTTGTTGGAGACACACCTTTTGGGACTGATTGTTCAAAAGCATCTCACTGTGTGTACTGTCTTCCTGTGAGTTCTTAGGCAGTGTATATGTGGAATTCAGTTTTAAGGGAAAAGAAACTTTGGAGGTTAAGATATATGCGAGACTTTTAGAGGAATTTGGATGAGGTACTCTGTAGCAGATATTCTATTCAGAACCATAGATGAAACTAGAAGTCTGGATTTGGATGAGCAAATTGAGAAGTGAAGATCTCCATTTACCCTACCTGCTTCCCTGCACAGCTTTACCTATGCTTTCATGTTTCATGGTGCCATTTCTTTCTTCATGTCCCTTTTCTCATCATCCATCAAAAGTCCCCATCTCCACATTTGTTCTCTCAGATATTTCTTTTCTTGTCCCCATTTTTGTTTCTTCTTTATTTAGGACACAAGGAGAGCAATAGAAAAAATTTGTGACTTCCTAGGAAAGAAATTAGAGCCACAAGAGCTGGATATGGTCCTCAAGTACAGCTCCTTCCAAGCCATGAAAGAAAATAAAATGTCCAATTTTAGTCTCATGCCAAAAGATTTGATTACTAAAGGTTTTGACTTCATGAGAAAAGGTAAAGAATTATTCTGGCTTCAAAATATGTCAGAACATTTGGTGGTGTTCTTGTTCCAAGGAGAGTCCAAGAAAGAGTTGGGAATGTTTCATAATTCATTGCACCTCAAATCATAGTTTCTCAAAGACCTTATAGGGGAAATGGTGATGATGTGGGCTTCAAGAACTGTGAAAAATGATTTGTTCTGGGAGAGAACTTAAGGAATGTTTAGGGTCATGTCCAATACTTTTAATGGTAAACAAAAGGGTAGACATATTGCAGTGAGGCTTTATAAGGATCCCTGTATCTCAGACCTCAACTGTATAGAGAATATTTAATGCATGGGACCAATATATATTTGGGATGATAACCACAGAAAACACTTCCATTAACACCTGGAAAAGATGATGAACATGTCAAAGATTGTTGACCCACACAATAAAGTATAATCAAAATTTTCACCAGTGTTAGAATCTGATGCTATTTGCCAACCTAAATTTGAATTGCTTCAGGCTCAGTACCATTTTTCTGAATTGTCTCTCCGGGGATGGGAATATCCATCTTATCTAAGTCTGTGCTCCCTCTCTATTCTGGGAACAGATTGTGGTTGTGATTTCATAGCTGTAATATTGAGGAAGTATTTCGCTAGAAAGAATCACACCAGGAGTCTCACCTACACTTAATTAGTGAATAGGTGTTGGCATAGGGCTCAGGATTGAAGAAGAAATGAGTCAGATGTCATGTATGTTTGGATGAGTAAAGAAGTTGGCCATAAAGACAGGATGCGGAGAGCTATGGGTTTACTTTTCTTCTGCCAATAATTTACATGTTCCAGGCTAAACACTCACTCTTCCTCCACCATAGAGTGTGAAGATCAGGTCTTAGGATTTAAAGACATGAAGAGCATAAATTGAAATAAGTAATTTAAAGTTGTCAACAGGTTACTTTCAAAAGAATATGTCTGATGTCATCATAAGAGGAAGTTTGGAGTCAGATTTGAGCATACATATACGTCGCCTCAAGAATATGATCATCTATACACTAAGGACTAAGGCCTCTGGAAGAATCCACTGCTGTTGACAGATAACCTTCTGTGTTCCAGACTCTGTAGAGACAGAGTTATCTCCACTAGATCTTCAGGACCCACAATGAAAAGTAGTTGCCAATTATTGGATATCCTGTAATGAATCAGAAATTTACAGAAATAAAAAAGTGTTTACTCATAAAAGGCTGTAATGAAATGCCAAAAGGAATGAAGTGACTTGTTTAATAGGAAATTCTATGGAAAGTAACAAGCAAAAGATTTATCAGAGACATAGAGAAACAGATGCAATAGAATTTAGGACACAAGTCTATGAGGACAACCACTCATGTTTTTTCCAGCTAGATTCTTCCAAGACAAGACCATAATGGGATTTTAGTTCAACCTCTTTGAAAAACACAGTATTTTTTATATATCATATATGCCAGGAGAAAATATATATATACATATATTTTTTTCATATATATACATATATATATGTATTAGTTCTGTCAAAAAGGTTGTTGAGACTCCATAAGTCAAATAGAATTGAATTATCATAGTGATTATATGAGACTTTCTTTTGCATTTTAATGTAACTTATATTTTAGAAGATTATTTTCATTGTACTAAAACTCATAAGCTATGAGTCTCACTGGAAACAAGGTCACTGAAAACAGAGGCCAACTTAAATCCCCACATCTCCTTGATTCATGACTTTAGGATAGAAGATGCTGGCATGGATATGAAACACTTTTGAAAAATAAAATGCTTGAGGATATTTTTGGTCTTTTCAAATCCTACATATAATTGGTTCCTTCATATAAGTCTTCAAGGTATGATAAGATCAAAGTTTAATTGATTTATTACCATTACATATCTAATTCCCTAAATCATAATGCATGAAAAGCTATGTTATATGTTATTCTGAACTTAGCTGGGAGGCATTCTCTAACTCCATTTTCATTGTGCTTTAGTTTCTCTATTCGAGGATCAAGAAAAATGCCTTGTCTTGCCTCTGAAGGGATACTTTTTATCTGGGAGACTGTGTCATCTGGCTAGTTAGGATTAAAATGGTTTTAAGCTGGAAGCAATAATTTTTCAAAAACAATTTGGTCATTGTGATAACATATTGAGATACTGCAGAAAATGCAGATGAGAGAGATTGTCATCCCAATTCAGCCACTGTTTAGTTGACAAAGCTTTTATGATGACATTGTCACAATCAAGACACGTGATGGGAAATGTCTTCTGACAAATTTCAAATATATTGAACTTAACTTGTTCACACTGGTGTTTCCTAGACAGAATGTTTAAGCCATAACTCTGAGACATAGAGGGAACTAGACCTAGGTGGAATGAAAGCCAGAGAAGTTAGGGGCACCAAAATTTTAGCAACTAAACTTCCAGAACTGTGAGGAAGTAACTTCCTAACAAAAGTTAAGACACCATGAGTTGTGGTTATCCTGTCCCCTTACACACCAGAATTTTAGGAGCTTTTATACAGAAGGAATGAAGAAAATACAAGCTCGTATGCTGCAGAGGATTTTGACATAGTTGGACTTAGAACTTCATGTGTACCTGTAAAGAAATGTTTCTCTCATATATATTGATTTATTCCAGTGGGGAGCCATATTAAATTTGCTGAGATTCGGGTGGCTTGGCTCCTAGACTGTCTCATCAGGAGCTAGGCAGGCTGTGAGAAACAATTTCAAAATTTATTCTAATAATGAAGATAATAATGGAGATGAGAATACTAATGTATATTATAGTTACACATATTACCAGATGACAATCTTATAGTCATATCAATTAATGGTATTTTATTTTAATATGATATATCAATAATTACCATTTAATTATGAATACTATATTTTAATTTATAGTAGCAAAGAGGATTTGAAATTCACTTACATGATACAAAAGAAATGTACTGTGATAAGGAAAAGCATGATTTTTATTGTCAGTCCTTTTGGCTTCAAATATATATGCATCACTATCATTTCAGATAACATCTCAAGGACTAATTTTCCTCATCAGCAAAGTAGGAAAAAGGTCAATACCTTCTTCACTCAATAATGAATGCTTTCAAAAATTCCATATTGAATATGTGCCTCATAAAATGTATTTGTTAATGATCCTGCTGTTTCTATTGTGTGGAACAATTTGAGGAGAATTTGTATTAGCTCTTCTATGAATTTCTGGTAGAATTCTACACTGAATCCATCTGGCCCTGGGGTTTTATTGCTGCGAAAATTTTAATGGCTATGTCTATTTCATTAGTGGTTATATTTCAATTTAAATTCCTTATTTATTCTTGATTTAATTTTGGTAAATGATATCTATCGAGAAAATTGTCCAGCTCCTTTAAATTTTCCAATTTTGTAGAGTATGGGTTTTCAAAGTATGACCTGGTGATTCTCTGTATTTACCCTCTGTCTCTTGTAATGTCCCCCTTTGATTTCTGCTTTTGTTAATTTGCATACTCTCTCTCTCTCTCTGTCTCTCTCTCTCTGTCTCTCTCTTCCTTTTGTTTAGATTGGAAAAAGGTTTGTCTATTTTGCTGAGTTTTTCAAAGACCCAACTCTTTGATTCATTGATTCTTTGTATTGTTTTCTTTGTTTATACTTTACTGATTTCATTCTCTCAATTTGACTATTTCCTGGCTTCTACTCTTCCTGGATGAGTTTGCTTCTTTTTGTTCTAGAGTTTTCCGGTGTTCTGTTAATTCTCTAGTGTGACTTTTCTCTAGTTTCTTCATGTGGGCATTTAGTGCTATGAACTTTCCTCTTAGCACTGCTTTCAGTGTGTCCAAATAGGTTGGATATGTTGGGCCTTCATTTTCATTGAATTCTAGGAAGTCATGGATTGCATTCTTTATTTTTCCTTTACCCAGGAGTGACACAGTTGCGCATTGTTCAATTTACATGAGATTGTAGGCTTTTTCTGCAATTTGTGGTGTTGCTGAATTCTAATTTTACCATGGTGGTCCAATAAGATACAGGGACTTATTCGAGTTTTTTGTACCTGTTGAGGATTGCTTAATTGCTGAGCATGTGGTTGATTTTAGAGAAGGTTCCATGTCATGCTGAGAAGAAGGTATATTATTTTGTGTTTGGATGGAATGTTCTATAGATGTCTCTTAAACCCAATTGGGTCATAATTTCTATTAGTTCCTTTGTTTCTTTGTTAAATTTCTCTTTGGTGGTTTAGTCTAGTGGAGTGGGGGTGTTGTAGTCTCCCACTATAAGTGTGTAAGTTTTCTGTGTGATTTGAATTTTAGTAATATTTATTTTCCCTAATGTGGATGCCTTTGTATTTGGGTCATAGGTCTTGTTGGATTTATCCTCTGATGAATATGAAATGACCTCTTTCATATCTTTTGATTCTAGTTTAAAATCTTACTTGTCAGATATTAGGATTGCTACCCCCACTTGTTTCTTGGGTCTATTTGATTGGAAAATGTTTTCCCAACCCTTAACTCTGATGGCTTTGATGTTGAGGTATGTGTCTTATATGCAGCAAAAGGATGGATTCAGGCTTCCTATTCTGTTAGCCTGTGTCTTTTTATAGGTGTGTTAAGGCCATTAATATTGAGGGATATTAATGACCATCGATTGTTCATTCTTGCTTGTTTTCTATTTATTTTTGGTGGTGTTATTGGGTGTGAATTTTTCATGCATGCTTTCAACAATTCCATGTTGAGTATGTTCTATATTTCTGTTGTGATTTGATAGTGAAGCCTTTGGTGAAACAGTTCACTTTTCAAACATTTTAGATACATATTTCAGGCTTTTATACAAAATGGAAGTGTGTAAAATTTTCACACCTATGACATAAAATAAACAGGGATGGGGGCTTCAGAGTTCTAGATGTCAGGAAGATAGGAAGAAGGAATCACAGTGTCATTAGTAAGGGAAGAAAAGTGCAAGAAGTCACCATTTAGATAACACTGGATTTCTAGGGTGAAGTAACACACAATGCAAAGTGAGTAGTTAGAAAATTTGACATCTCTCTAGTCAAAACTAAAGACACACTAGAATACACGGTAAAAACACATGTGTATCTTCATGCATCACATAACACATATTGACTGGAACAGATATCTTTCGATGTTCTTAGCTGGCAGTACCTGATTCTCCTGAATCTGATGGAAGGATCAGATGATTTGCATATAGCTCACAGCAGTGTGTACTTCCAGCTTCAGGGCCTCTGACACCTAAAACCATCAGAGGCAACTGTATTCATGAGCACCTATGCACACATAATTAAAATTAATGATAAAGGATGTTTTAAAAGTTTCTTGCATGCTTTGCAGAACTTTTGTGAGGAAACACTAAAATGTAAAAAGAACAATTGAAAACTGCTTGGATAATTAATATAAGAAAATCTGTTGGTTGGATAGTGTGATAGAAGCAGGTGTAAGCAGATGCAGAAATCGTCTGGACACATGAAAATGTAGAGCCAGTTTTGATGCTGTTAATGGCATAACTGATATCTTGAGATAGAAGAAGGTAAGACATTATTTCCTCACAGGCATATGAGTCTATTTGCATAAGATATTTTCTCCAGGAAGTCCCTCGCCCTTCCACTATTAACTGTGTGGTACTTGTTAAGCTGATGCTAAGGACATGTGACGGAAGGACTGAGATCAGTGTTAAGATCATCATTTAAAAAGGCTAGAGAGATGGCTCAACAGTTAAGAGCACTGCCTGCACTTCCAAAGGTCCTGAGTTCAATTCCCAGCAACCACATGGTGGCTCACAATCATCTGTAATGAGATCTGATGCCCTCTTCTGGCCTGCAGGCATACATGCAGGATGAACACTGTACACATAATAAATAAATCTTTGGCCGGGCGTTGGTGATGCACGCCTTTAATCCAAACACTCGGGAGGCAGAGGCAGGCGGATCTCTGTGAGTTCAAGGCCAGCCTGGATAGGCTCCAAAGCTACACTGAGAAACCCTGTCTGGAAAAACAAACAAACAAAAAAGATCATCATTAACCCATCTGTCTGCTTCACATTTTTTCAGGCATAACAGGAGACTGGAAGAATCACTTTACAGTAGCTGAATCTGAAACCTTCAATAAAGTATTCCAGGAAAAAATGGCTGGATTTCCTCCAGGAATCTTTCCGTGGGAATAACTTCTTATGATTTCTATATAGACATTCCGGTTTGCTTTTCTGTACTTGTAGATGTGAATGACTGCATGTGGTCATAGAATAAATCATTTACTGAATTTTGTGGGTGTTTTTTTAATATTTGTAGTAGCATTAGCAATAATGGTAGTAGTATTTGAGTAATGGTAGCACTAGTGAGTGTGTGTGTGTGTGAGAGAGAGAGAGAGAGACAGACAGAGACAGAGACAGAGACAGAGAGAGACAGATTGAGAGAGAGCGTCTACAAGAAGACCAAGAGAACCAAAGGGTACATGGTCAATCTGGATTTTCAGAAAGGAGAGAAGTGTAATATCTTTTTATGGTTAAGCAGGAGGTTTTTCTGGTTGATATGATGGAGAATGCGGCCAGTAGAATCTTTAAGAGTCCCGAGCAGGGAAAGAAAGTATTAGACTGAACATGGTCCTCAGAAGTAGTAGGCTGTGAGGTGGGGAGAAAAAGAGGAGGACAAGCAAAGAAAGAACTGAGCGAGAAATAGAGATATATAGAGAGAGTCTTCAAGAAGACAAAGAGAAACAAAGGGTGCATGGTCAAACTGGCAGGGTGTTATAGGAACCAGAAACTGGGGAAGGGAACTCTGTGATGTGTGGAAGTTTAGGGTAGAGGCTGGGAGAGAAGAGATAAAATTAACGAGCATATGGATTCCTGTTTAGAATCAGTAACAGGTATTTTTCCATGGATCTTGGAGAACAGCATGCATTTGGGTATTGTAATAAGCCCCACATTTAGCCATTTTCCCTGAGTTTCCTTTGGGCCTGGCTTTCCAGCCTTTTGTTGATGAAAATGTCAAGGCAATCTTTCTGTAACTCCTTCATAACTGAAGTTAGGATATTATCAGGATCTGGGAAGTTTGGAGTGCAGGTCAAGGGTTAGGAGAAAGGAAAGGAGTACAGGCTTCCCAGTTTTTGTTTGACCACCTGGTGCCAACAAAGTGCAGGGAACTTTGCAGCAATCTGAAAATTCTGCTTAAAAACAAGGCTTAGGCCAATTAGAAATTCCATTGGCAGCACCTACTTTACATTGGTTTTCACATATCTAGGGTTGTCTGTTGTCAGTTTGGAGCAGTTTACAATGTCTATGTGATTACAAAACTGATGGGACAGAAATAAATAAGAGAAAGAAGGTAATGTTAAGGAGCTTGTTGGAAAATATTTTCCTTGCTTGTGCCCTTGAAACTTCCAGACCACACTCCTTGTAGTTGCTGTGGGAGTAGTCTTAAAAGTTTGGGTAGCAAAGAAAGAATGTGAGAAAGAGCACACAGTACCCACTAGGTAGATGGGGAAGTTTAAAATGCTGATTGACAGGGTAGATATGTGGAGTCTGTTGGACCTGTGACAGCAAGCCATGACTCCTTGAAATGTACATGGTTTTCCCAGGTTTACAAAAAGATAAATATTTTGGATGCATAAGCATTTGTACTTCTTTTAAACTGCACTGAAATTCTTGCTATAGAGAAAGCAGTTAGCAGGCATCTAAAACTGCTGTAGTTGACTCTAGTAGACTCATGCCTTAATATCACAGCAAAAACTATGATTTGGGGTTAAAACCATGAACAGTTTTTCCTTTGTTCAGAGGTATGGATATATAAATATTAGAATGAGATGTTTTCAACACAATGAGAAGCATGGTTAAATCTGTACCCACAAAGCAACAAAATGAATTCTAAATTTTTGAGTTTGTGACTATGATAATAATAGTCAATATTTTATCAGGGCTGGATTAATAGTTTATCATAATTCCTTTGTTTAATGTTGAGTCTCTAAACCTTTAAAATATTAATATAATAATAGCATAGAAATAGATTAAGCAGTATGAAATATTACTCATTTTCCCATACCATATACACTACGTGGTAAATCAATTTCTTAGCTGCTCCCAGCTAAATCATTCGCTTCCTCAGACCATTACAGCTTGCCTTTACACACTCTAATTTACTTCTTTAGACCGTCTTCCATAGAATTTTTCTATTGCTATTAAGAGACTATAATTATGGTAACTATTAAAAGAGAAAGCAATTAAAATTTTATACATTTAGTCCATTATCTTCATTGTGGGAAGCATAGAGGAATGCAGACAGATATGGTAGTAGAGAAGCAGCTGGGAGATCTCCATCTTGATCACAGGAAAGAGGAAGTAAACTATCTCCCACGGTGGGCATATCATAAGAATATAAAACAGCAAAGCCTTCTATCTAAGCGAAACACCTCATCCATCAAAGCCATACTTCCCCATACCTACACTCTCTATAGGACAAATATTATGAGTAGGTTCCTGGCATGAAGGCTGGAAAACTGCTAAGGTTCACATATTCCCGCTGGTGCATGAGCAAAATTTCAACTCAACATGCAACCTAACAGGGCTACAATGAGAGCTTTCCTATGGACAATGTAGTCTAAAAAGTTTGACATTAATAAAAACAGAGGCTACTCCACCAACAGAGTAAAATCCATAACATAACATAATGAGGGAAAAAACAGCAAGGAAGGGATATTAACTGATATTATTTGTTTTTGTTGCTTTGGTTACTGTTGTCATTTTGTTTGGTTTTAGTTTAGTTTAGTTTTTGAATTTCACATTGTATTCCAACCACATTTATCTCTCTGGCCCCTCCTGCTGCCATTTTGCTTCAATGGATCCTACCCACATCCACTGCTCCCAAAGTGTAAGGTCTCATATGGGGGACCAACCATGCCTGGCCCATTAAGTTGAAGCAGAACCAACACACTCCTCCTATATATGAAGACTGCAAATTGTACCCCACTATTGGGAATGGGCTCCAACAAGCTAGCTCAAGAACCAGGGATTGAAGTTGTTACTACAGTCTAACTGGTGTTATTGTATTTTTTAAATTTTTCTTTTGTTTATGTCTCATTTTTAGGTTAGTATGCAGACTGGTGAATTTCAGATGTTCTCATGTTTGCCACTATTCTTTGCCTGCTGTATGTTATTATTACCTTAGTTTTTTTAATCATGTTTGATATTGTCAGTATGCTGTTATGTTCACATGAGTGAAGTGGCCATGGAGGGCAGAAGTGGTAATTATATCACTTAGAAGATAAAGTTACACTTGATTTATTAAAGACTACACGTTGTAGTTGCTGGGAAGAGAATTCAGCTGTTAGCTTTTCTTTCATAGTTTGGTAGACTAGGCAGAGAATCCATCTGTTTTTGTCTTTTCTTTTCTGGGATAATTATATCTATATCTTACTGTTTGTAGAGAGCAATATAGACTTAAGATTCCCTAAAATGCAGTTGCCTAATGGAGTGTTTAATAAAAAATGTTCCTCAGGCTTATATGAAGTGACAAAATCAGAAAGTGTGGCCTTGTTGGAGTAGGTGTGACTTTGTAGGAGGAAGTGTGTCTCTGGAGATGGGCTCACAATTTCAAGCACTCAAGCCAGATCGAAAGTCAAACTCATTTCTGATGCCTGCATACTTGGAAGTAAAACTTTAAGCCACCTCTTCTGGAGTATAACTGTGTGTCAACATTCTTCCCACCATGATACCATTGGGAGTAAATCTCAGAAAGTATAAGCAAGCCTCAATTGAATATCTTTCTTTTATAAGAGTTAATGTGATCCTGGTGTCTCTTGGTAACAATCAAAATCCCATGTTCTGTACGACTTTCAAAGCTTTGAAGATTATCTATCCATCTGAGATATATCTCTGTATGATAGGGAATGTCCTTCTGTGTGTATGTTTATATTATTGGTTGTTGAATAAAGCACTGTTCGGCCAATGAGGCAGAAAGCTAGGTGGGACTAGGAGTCAAGGAGGATTCTGGGAAATGCAGTAAAAAGAAGTCTTGTGATCCAGGCAGGGAGAGACATAGCAGGCAGACTCAGGATATAAGCAGGGACAAGAAGGAAATCACTCTCTTCCTCTTCCTCTTCCTCCTGCTCTCTTTCTCTGGAGCCACCATGTGAGCCCACCAAGAGAGGATGCACACCATCAATGTCCTTGATCAGATAAGTCTTTATAAATATATAGATTATGGCTATGGTTGATACTTAAAACAGAGCAAGCCTATAAGAAATCCTGGTCAATTGGCCAGCAGCATTGTAAACTAATATAAGACTCTGTGTGTAATTTGGGGGCCCTAAAGTGGCAGGGCAGAACTCAGGTGGCTGGCAGAAAGACTTATCATTACATCTGTATATCTGGACAACCTAACTAACATAACTATAAGTTTTGACTATTATAGGTGACTATCTATAATATCTACTTAATTATACATTACATTTTTAAAATATTTGTATAAACACAATAACTAAGCAAAAGTAGAAATATAATGCAACAAAATAGACCTTAAATTTGTATCAATAAGCCAAAATCCACACCAATACAAAGTATTCATTCCTATATCAATTCCCTTTTTTCCTTTAGAAAGATATTTGCTCTGATCATTATCCACTTATGACCAACACAATTTAAATGAAATAAACATTTATAAACAATATTTTGAAATTTGGTCTTCATTCTCTCCAAACTGCTTCCTGCTCTTTGGTGGCACAGTCAATGACATGTGGATCCTGAGAAATACAGAAACCTGGACATAGTAGTCTGCTAGGCTGCAGAATCCCAGCTGTATTGGATGTTGGATCTCAAATGCCACTGTTTTAAGGGTTCTTGCTTCATCAAACCATATTAACCTTGAAAGAGTCCATAGCTTCTTATTTTCTGTGGAAAAAAGCAAAGCCTCTTTTCCAAAGAACATGCTCTCTGACTTATATCTTGAAGTCAAGGCATTTTTAAACATATA